GATAAGATAATTAAAATATTGATAATAATTTAAAAAAATAATGGTTCAAAATAACAAATTTTCTTTTTATCAATTCCTACACCAACCTTCAAAAACTAATTTTTTAATGAAAATCTTATTTTATCCTGTTATAAGAATTAAAAGGTAATCGAAGAAAAAAAAAAGAAACATATGTTCATGTTCTCCACCGACATTTCAACAGTTAAGAAGAACAGAAACTCCGATATAAAAATCTCAAATTTAAATCTAAAAGGAAATCTCAAATTTGAATTGAAAAGAACAAGGTTACATGATATTTATAAGACGACTAGATCGAGAGAGAGAGAGAGAGAGAGAGAGTTAGATCATAATTCATCAAAAATATATGTGAGTTTATTTATCTTTTGCAGCAAAAAAGAAAAAGTATTGGTTGGCGCAGGTTTCCCACGGTGCCACGATGCTTTAATAACGTTGCAACACATGGTCACATGAAATCTGCATATTGATAAATTCTAACTCTTGTAATTTATTTTTATTTTTATATTATAATTTTTTTATACAAAAGTAAAATTCACTTAGGTGCAATGTATAATAATAATAATAATAAATCAATAGTAAATGATTAATGTAAATATCCATATTATTATTATTATTATTATTATTTTTTTACATCTTTTCTGTCAGCCGGCCACAACAACACTGTCAACAACTCTGACAGCCATCGACTGCCACTCTGACGATCACTCTAACCTTATGTAACCAAAGTCTAACAAAATCTTAAAATTTCTAAAATTTTGATCATTATCTAACTTTATAAATAGAGCCATAAAAGACAGAAATAAGGGAGGCTATCCAAGAGATACCCTGAAAACAAAAAACCTATATCGAAAAAAAAAGTTTTACTAGATTTTACAAAAAGGAAAAAAAACTTTATGTCAAAAAACCCAAAACCTAAAAGAATCTAAACAAACACAAACAAAAATCACAACTCTTGGTAACGGAGAACCACAATGCTAAATCACAAAAATCAAACAAAAAAAAAGATTATTCTGGTCGAATCTTTCAAGCCAGATTTATATCGTTTGGAGCCATCTCTCGTAAAACTAGGCTTAGATCTGTGTTTAAGAGGATTAGAAGAAGATTTTTTGTATTTGGGTTTTTCTAGCAATGGTGATGGTGGCTAGTGACAACAATCGAAGGAAGACACGACACACCAACATTGGATTCTGGGAGTAGCAACGGCTAACTAGGGTTTAGAGAGAAAGAGTTAAAGAGTGTGAGAAGTTAGAGAAAGAGGGGGAAGAAAGAAAATGAAATAAAATTTTTTTGGACTTTATAGTTTAAAAAAAAATAAAACGACACCGTTTTACGGACCCAAGATCCACGCATGACTTGCTACCTGATTCAGTGTCTGTGCAATCGACTTGCGACTTGGCTCCCTTATGATCTTTGACTGATCTAGTTGAACCAGCCTAGATCGGACTGTTGATTGGTTTGATTCAGGTAAAAATTTTTTTTTGAATTTTTGAATTATTTTTTAAATATTATTTTTGTTATTTTAAATTTTTATTATTAATATTTGTGCATTTTGAAATGTTTAAATTTGTTAAAATAAATTTTTGTTGTTTTATTATAATAATTAGTAAAAATAAAAGTGGAAAAATAAATAAACAATGAAATATATGTTAAAATTTTTAATAATTTTGCTAAAATTTGAAATAAATTTTATAAAATAATGATAAAAAATGATAATTAATAATTAATAACTATGATATCAATAATAAAAAAATGGTTTCTAACATTTGATAAATTTTTATAATTAAAAATAAAAATAGTAAAAATAACCAAAAAATAATTAATATAAATAATAAAAAATTAGTAAAAATGTAAGAAAAGAAAATTTTTATTCGATGATGAGATTTAAAGGTACTTTGAGTAGTGATACCTATGAAAAATCTAGGTAAAAAGATTTTTTTTTAATATTACCAATGTATTAGAATATTTATAAAAAGTTTTCAATACAATAACAAAATTTTTTTTGTTATTAAAGAAAGTAAAAATTAACTAATTTATTAAAATAAAATGACAAAAAGTGAGGAAAAAGAAAATTTTATCAATGAGGGGATTCTAAAAGTATTATGAGAAGTGATGTTTTATAAAATTTCTAAATAAGAAGATTTTTTTCTAAATATTACCAATCTATTAAAGTATTTATAGAAAATCTTTAATATAATAAAAATTCTTCTTTTCTTAAAAAAATCTAATAAAAAACCAATAAAATTTCTAAAAATAATATAAAATGCGTGCATCAACATGTTATTATTTGCATTGTATACATATGTTTATTTTTACAAACCTCCGATGATAAGATTTTAAAGTATTTCGAAAAGCAATGTCTAGGAATTCTTTAGATGATAAATAATTCTTCTAATATTATCAACATACTGAAATATTTAAGAATTATTTTAATAAAAAAATTTTAATTTATTTTTCTCAAATAAAATGAAACAATAATAATAATAATATAAAAACTAAAACTTCGATAAACAAAATAAGTCAAGAAAATTACATTTTAAGTATCAAAACTAAGATTGTTTTTGTCAGGATTAATGGATAATATGTAATTAATTTGTACCTTTTTAAATGGATGTTGTGAAAGTACTAATCATTTTTTACGCGTAATCAACTTTTATACTCAAACTGTTTTGTAGTCTCTAAAATTATTTTTTAATAAATTTTAATTAATTTTAAAATTTTATTAAAATGATAAATTTTAATAGATGGTCAATCACATTTAGCAAAAAAAAAAATTAATGACGACTCTATCATTTTTTATTTTTTATTTTTCATTTTCGTTTTTAAATTTATTGGACAACTCCAAAATCATTATAACAATTAAATACCGGTTGGTCAAGATTTTATTACACACTTTTTTTTCTTCATCTTCTTTATATCTAATTAAATTTGCAGTTCAAGTTCTTCATCAGTCACTTGCTTTCACCCAACTCATTTTTGTCAGTATAATCAAATGCTTACATTAAAGAATTATTTAATGTTAGATTAAAGAATTTAAGAAGATCAAAGAAGGTATTTTATTTCTGATAATACAAGGCTTTATTATTATCTTTTTTTTTAATAATTGAAAAAAAGGAAAGTCGAAACTCAATACTCTTTCCGAAAAAAAAAAATATATATATATATATATATAAATGTTGACTTAATTGACATCTAAACTCTCTTTCTTTGTTATAAAATGTTCGAATTCGAACCTCAGCTGTGGTCTTTCATTCATGCAAATCTCGAATGCTGTCAATGATATTTTTAAGAGGCACATCTTGTCTTGAAGGTCAGAACAACTTATTTGCCTCATATTGTAATTATATATAAAAAAAAAATTGTCTGGAACATTAATTAATGTTAGAATGTCTATCATTTTATTCCAGTGGTTTTCGCATTCGTCCATTGTAAATATTTCTTCTTCTTCCACAGCTCTCTCCTCCCAAAAGAAGAGTCATTACTTATATATTTGTTTAATGATAAATTAGCACACAGTACAAAGAAAACTAAAGCTTAATTCACTATTTAAGATATAATAACCATTTAGACCAAATCTAAATTGGTTTAAGGTCATGACTTTTAAAATCATATAAGAAATAGGCTACCCCATTTTGTCAATATAAGTGACAAAATCATTGGAAGGAGAGAAAGGGAAAAAAAAAAGGAAATACTATATTTTGGAATTTTTTTTTGGCAAAAATAGAAAATAGAAGAACCATCAATTAGAAGTAGGTGAATAAATAGAAGTCAATCCTTTGCCTCACGCTTAAAACTCAACAATTAAAACAGTGGGGTTTCTGAAGTCTAATCACATTATTTAGTAGGCTAAAAAAGTAGGGCTACACACAGCTTGGATTTGGGCCAGCTCAGTAGACAAGCAAACCATACAATTTAATTGTGAAAAAGACCAAAAATATTTATTATGAAAAATCATTTAAAAATTTGTCCTTTTGATGTATTTATTTGTTTTAAGACAATGTAAGCTATCAGAAAAAAAAAAGTTGTAAGAAAAATGTCAATGTCTTAATTGTTATAAATAATTGTGGAATTACTTTTTTATAATGTCTCAAATGTTGCAATGAAAAAAATAATAATTTACAAATGAGTTTTTTTTTTTTTTAAATTAAAAATTACAGCAATCCAAGAGAAAGCTAAAAACAAGGGAAAAAAAGACAAATGAGGAAAAACATGGCAAAGATAAGAAATCTAGAAATAGAATTTAGACAAAGAAAATGATTGATTCATGAGTAGAAGTAACTAGAAAGAATTAATGTTTCAATAGAACATGCATGCATAAGTAGAAAAAAAAAGAAATAGAAATCTTTGACAGAATAATCTACATATGTTGACCTTTGTTACTTTCAAAAAAGTTTTTCATTAATTGAAAAATAATCACCACGAATTAAACCAACATTAAAACTTTATGATATATATATATATATATACCGCATTTAAATTATTTGAAAAAAATAAAATTTGAGTTGAATTCTTTAAATAAAAAATATAAATGTAATTATCATTAAATCAAATACATTTAAACGTAAAACTTTTAATACTTCTTAATCTAAAACATCTTAATTTTTTATCAATTTTTTTCTTAAAATGTTCCAAAATTATGTTATTTTTTTCTATTCTAAACACTAAAATTATTTTGTTTAACAAAAACCGTTACTCAATTAAGACTCAATAGCGTGAAGGTCATTGCCTTGATCTTTGATGATGAGCTGCTGCTACATGTGAGCCGGAAGGAAAAAGCGTCATTGAGAAGATATATAGTAGGATTCAACTTCCACTTCTGACTTTGGTTATCTTGATTGACCATATTTAAGGTGAAGTTAATAAAAGAGGCTACTGACTCAGCAAGTTGTAAAAAAAGTTGTTTCCCTCTTAAAAGATCATCTTCCCCCTTTATATATATACCATTCACATGGTTATTGCACTATTTGAAAGCTCCATAGCTGAAAGCCAAAGAAAAAAAAGAAAGAGAGAGAGAAAAGAAGCCAAGGAGGTTAAACAGCCATGGGAAGACCTCCTTGCTGTGATAAAGTTGGAATCAAGAAAGGTCCATGGACCCCCGAGGAAGACATCATACTTGTCTCTTACATCCAAGAACATGGTCCAGGAAATTGGAGATCAGTGCCCACAAATACTGGTATTACAGCAACAAACAGATCCCACTTTTTGCTCTTTTTTTAGGTTATCTGTATTAGAATTGGACATTTATCAGTTAAATGAAAAATGGGAATTTCATATTTTTCTCTAGTTTTGTTAGAGTACTACTTTTGGCTGATTCAAATCTATTTTTGTTTATATAAAAAAGGGTTGTTGAGATGCAGCAAAAGTTGCAGGCTTAGATGGACAAATTACCTGAGGCCAGGAATCAAGCGAGGGAACTTTACTCCTCATGAAGAAGGGATGATCATTCATTTGCAAGCATTATTGGGTAACAAGTAATTCTCAAACTTCTGCTTTTTCTATTCAACAAATTAAAAAGAAAAGATTCAATACTTTGTTTCCTCTTTCAGTTTTAATGGAGTAGTCTCAGAGTTTCTAAACCTGCAAATTTTTACTCAGATGGGCAGCCATAGCTTCATACCTACCACAAAGAACAGATAATGATATAAAGAACTACTGGAACACCCACTTGAAGAAGAAGCTAAAGAAGTTTCAGTCAGCTTTGGACCACCACATGGCTCAGGACTCTTCAACTACAACAAGTCAATTTGTTTCAAAAAGCTTGAATGAGAGAAGGAGCTTAGATTTTGCTGCTTCAACTACTCTTAAGCTAAAACAAACCTCTTCTACATATGCTTCAAGCACTGAGAATATTTCTCGTCTTCTTGAAGGTTGGATGAAATCATCACCAAAGACTGAAGTAGTAGCCCAGGAAAAAAAAAGGAATCATCAAAACAACAGTTTTGATAACAATGACAGTATTGGTAGTGCTTCAGCTGCTACAAATTCTCTTCAAGGGGGATATAGATCGAAAGCTGAACAAGAAGGTGGAGATTTGATCTCTCATGAAGAGTTTGAGTCAATTTTATCATTTGAGAACATGAACAATGCTGCTGCATGGGACAAATCTACTTGTGATTCTACTTCAAGGGGTACTCGTCAAGATTCTGGAAATCATGACAAGGTCAATGTTGCAATGAACCCAGAAAGGAAGCAAAAACCTGAGAACAATAACAATAATAATCCTCCTCTATCATTTCTTGAGAAGTGGCTTTTGGATGAGAGTTCGGGTCAAGTAGAAGAGATGAATCAGATGATGGAACTCTCCTCAATTTTCTGAGATTTTCATTATCTTTCTTTCTTTTTTCTTTTTTCTTTTGTTCCTTCATTGTTCGTCTCCCTATCTTCATTTCATTTTAAGCTTTATTTAGAAAAAGGAAAACCAAAAAAAAAAAAAAAAAGGTTTGAATTATTTTCTGTAGGGGTAAGGCTTTCATTTTTCTGAAAAAGTTGGGATCTCTTAGAACAAATGTAATTACCCTTTGGTGTTTCTTTATGAACTCTGAAGTTAGCATTTCTCTTTGTTCTTGTATGAACTTAATTTTAGTTAGAGTAAAATTAATTAATCAGCAGATTGATAAACATTCTAAGCAATTCATTGACTTCCTTTTATGCATCAATATTATGCTATCAAAATCAACAAGATGGTTTCAAATTCAACCAAAAAGAAAACCCAATGGGAAAATGAAATAATATCCAAATAATGGCTATGTATATCTATCGGGGAAAAGATTTATATGAAGTTTTATAAATTAAGTTTATAAAGGTCTTTATTAAAAATGAATAAATAAAAACTAAAATTGAAAATCAAAATTAATAGATGAAAAAATTCCATCATAGAGATAAAGTGTGTAAAATTTGAAAAAAAAATTAATAAATTTAGATATATCTATTAAATAAACATTTTTAGTAAAAATATTGACAAAATTTTTATAATTGAATAAATACCAATCAAAATTAAATTATAAACAATATTTTCAATAATATTTTTACATTATTGAACTCTATCAATCTATCTATAGGTTTAGATTTTTATTATAATTTTTATTCGCTCATTTTTAATAAAAAACTTTACGAATTTCATTTATAAAACATGCAGTTTGAACGCAATTCTATTCTTTAATATTAACACCATAAACCTTAAGGCTAACTTTATAGTAAATAAATTAAATGGCAGCAACCGATAGTTAAATGGAAAAGAAAGTATACTTTTTTCTCTGTTGTTTGAGTTTGAATTCCTTGGGAGATTTAGAAAGATAATTGAAAGTAAAACTATAAGCCTAGATTTAAAAAAAAAAAAAAATTCTAGAAGCCTAGAAAAGCGACTATAGGCTTAAATATATTCCTACTTTTGCAGCAAGTTAAGTGGATTTTATGCATAGCAGCACAAATTGGGTACAAAATTAATTGAATTTTCATCATCACGAACACTCAAATCTTTTTCTTACAATTGTCTGCAACAGTAAGCAAATTTCTTGAAGCAAAGAATAATGTGATTAATGCTAAAAAATATTGACAAGAATAAATGAATAATAACCACATACATAAGGTAAATGGGATTTGTATCACGAAAGTCTTGCATCCAAATAAGGCAAAATGGTTTTCTTTTGGAAAATCATGACAAGGAAACATGTGATTTTATTGACCTTTTCGGTATGAGAAAAGCTGAAATATTTCCATTTATCTTCTTTACCATGCAAAAAAAAAATTCATAAGAATTGTGGGAGAAAAATGGTTTGCCTTGCCCTGCTGCTTCCGAGTGGGCATTCACAGATTCCTCACCACCAATCGAAATAAGCCACATGTGGTGCCATCACCCTCTTAAAATTTTTCATCTTGAAGTCTCAAGAGATCATTCAAGGAAAGAAAGTAAGAGAAGAGAAATAAATGAAACGAAATAATTTAAAGGGTTAAAAAGAGATAAAAGGATCTCTAGCATTTTCAGTAAAATGAATGCAACAATAGCAGTATTGCAGCAGGCCTCTCTCCAACCTTATTAGCAGCAGACAACTAAATATTAGCTGCAAGAAATGGCTAAGGGTTCATTTGAGAGTTCAGTTGAAGGTGCGTTTTATGGCTTAAAACCCTTTAATCGAACTCCCAGATGAACCGTAAAACAGCTGAAAGTTAATCCATTTTACACCATGAAAAAATGCATAAAGCTGAATTATTAGATATAAGAACCCTAAAATAGTTTTTCATAAACATCAATCCTGTTTTATGACTATTATTAGTTAAGACAATACAAGGCAGCAAAAATTACATTTAATTATAGTAATAATATTATATAAAACAATTTGTATCAAGTCTAAAAGCCATTTTGTATGCTATAGCTAGAGAAATTAGAATTTTCTTTTTGTTCTTGGTTAAATAAATACCATTGACTAAAGGGCATGTGAAAGGTACTCACAAGTGAAAAAGAGGGACCTTTATTTTTCTTTTGGGGCAGGAAAAATTGAATGAGATAGGATAAAGGGTGTGTTGCATTCATTTATTTTGAGGAAACGCTGTCTCTCAAATTACTTTGCTTCACTGTCAGGCAAGTTACATATACATACATATGTTTTCTCCCATATATAGGGAAAGCCTATAATTTTGAAGCCTGCATCTTCTGTAATTCTATTGTACATGCTTTTACAAGCATATATTTGCAGTTAACTAGCCATGCATAAACCCTTGTAAAGAAAATTAAATTAAACTGTAAAATGCGTTAGATTGGAAAATTTTGGAATCTCCTTTCAGTTTTTTTTTCCCATGCAAATTCCCTTTTTTTCTTTTTGGGTCTACACGAATATTTTGGGATGGAGGAGGGATTGGCTTGGTTTGAACTCAAATCTTTATTTTTATTATTTTTTTTAAGGTTTCTTTGTCATTAAGCCAAGAAGGTGAAGGCAATACAAGCAATTTCTGCCCCAAATAAATGTGTTGCTTTGTTATCTCAAGACAATTGGTTCCTTTACCATTAAGTCAAACAAAAATTAATTTTGGTAAGTAGGAAAGTTTGGTGTCTCAAATTTCAGTAAAATCATTTATCAAAATGATTCACCAAAGGTGAGGCAAAAAACATGGTCTCTGAAATTAAGACCATGGACCAACTCATCTGCTTCTTTGAAGAGTCAATTAATGATTAATTAAAAAAAAAGAAAAAGAGAGATGTACTTCCATTCTGTGCTCTCTAATTCTGCAAAGTGCATTTGCATGGCTGCAAAGACAAGACAAACTGAGAAGAACTGTTGTTTTTGTAAGTGATTTTCATACTCAGTTAATCTGACACCAAATCTACACTCGTTTACGTTCAACTGAAGGTCCACAAGGATTTATTTGATAGGTTTTTAATGTCCATCAATTTGTTAGGTTTAGTTCTATCTATGATATTTTTTTTGCTTTCATGATCCTTTAACTTGTTAGGTTTGCTCTCTCTATGTAACCCTCACCATAAATATATATATTTATAAATAATATCACAAGAAAAATAAACAAACGTTAAAATTCGAATATCAAATTTACTAAAAATCACCTTTTAAAGGTTAATTGAGCTAAAACTTTTAAATTGTTTTAAATCCATCCATTTTTTAACATATTATTAGAATATAAATGGAATTTGCCACGTACATATTCATAGAAGCATCAGATGGAAAATTTCATCCTTATATTTTGTCTATTTTCTAAGCGTGTTGAAGAATAAATGAATTGAGAACAAATTTAATATGTGAATAATTTGCACAATCTTGATTTTTTATTTTTATTTTTTTTGTGTGTGTGGGGTTCAAAAACTAAATTCAAGCCCAAAGGTTTAATGAAAACCCATCATATCACTTCCTAGCATTACTATCATCTCTACCTAACTTTGTTAAGGGTTGCATGTGAGATAAGAGCCACCTCCAATGGTTATGATCCTCATGAATTATAGCCCCCCTTTCTCCATTGGAATATATATGTACTATTGCCCCCCATTTGGGACCACAAAAAAAAAAAACAAAAGAACAAAAGAAGTTTTAATTTGACAGCAAAGAACATTTATTCATCTTTAAAAAAAAGGGCATTTCACTATAATCACTACAAGGCAGCAGAGAAAATGTGGGGACAGTTTAGCTCTGGTTTATGATTACCCATCAATGAAAAATAATGAATTATATGTTTATAAAACATTACTAAGAATTCCGTCCGTTAAACAAGCACTTGTTAAGATTAGATTAGATAAAATTGTATTTTAAAATTTTGGAATTTAACTTAATTATTTTATTTAATAATTTATGAGATGATATTTAATAAATATAAGATTCAAATCCCAATATTTATAATCGTTTTTCTTTATCTTTGAACATTGAGCATTTTTATACAAAAAATTATTTAATATATCATTTTCACGCATTAATTATATTTTTTTATAAAACTTTAGGTGTCAAAGTAACATTTTCTGAATTACTTTATTAATAGTAAGAAGTAGATAAGATAAATGAAAATATTAATTAATTAGCTATTATACCAAAAAACCTAGATTAGTCTAGAATAATCCTAGTAATTGCCCCCCAAATCCCCATATGATTCCACTGTTTTGAATGCTAATATAAATTCTGTCCAATCCTAAAAAAAAAAAACATGTTTAGTGTTCTCTCTCCTTCTCTTGGCCAAAAAAATCAACATCTAAGCTATAATGGTCGGAAAATGAAATTGTTACACTAACAAACAAGTCCAACTGCATGAATTGAGAGTACTTTATTGCCTTCAAATTAGGCCAAGTATATGAGTCACAATTAAAAGTGGTAGAGCAAAACACGAAATTTAATTCAATTGATTTATAAAATTATTTTTAAGAGATGATATGTAATATATCTAAAATTTAAATTTTAATATTTATAATTTTTTTTCTTTTATTCTCAAGTGATAACATACTATATACAAAAAATTAAGCTGATGCGAAGGCAAAATTTCTCATAAGGCAATAGGTAAGAAAAACTCAAAATCTATACAATTTTATAAACAAATTAATTTAAGTTGTATATATTCCCCAAATTTTATTTGAATTTTTTTTTTTTGGAAACAATCTTAGAGGTTTATTCTTTTATATTGTTTTGATGTATTTAAAATTTTACTTTTGAAATATTTTTCAAACAAATTTAACCTTAATTAATAAAAGAAAGAAGGCTTCTCTCTTTAAAAATTAGACTAAGCCTTATGAGTAATATAAGTTTTTTTTTTTTCAAAAACAAAAATATAAGTTTCAATGATTACAATAACTTCAAAGCTAATTCATCATTAGAATTTTTTCCCTCTATGTGTAACTTAATTAATGTGATTTTATTATCAATTTAAGATACAAAAGGAAAGCAGAGAGGGAGGGGGTAGGGGTTCTTCAATGGAATTTAATTCATAAAGAGAAAAATAATTGCTATAGTAAATGAGTTAATTTATAATTGAGAAAATGTAATATTTTGTTTATGTATTGTGCAAAATTTTTCAATGTCGGATTTGATATATCAGTGCTATATGTGTCTCATGTAAATGTCACGTATGCATTTTAATAAATTTTCCGATAATGAGATGATAAGGTGATGGTGATAGAAAATGTCACATGTTTCATTTCATTGGACGATAAATATAATTAAATTAGTGAATCTATTTAAGAGTATTAATTTCAAAAATACATTAACACACAAAAGATAGTATAAATATCATATTTAAAAATTTTATATAAGGATTAAATATTATAATATAGATATCACATTAAAAAAATAAAAACCGAGAAAGATGTAGCATGTGCTTGTCACTGGCAACTGGTTTTTTTGGGTCTCCTTGAATGATTATAATAAATCTTAAATGGTCCTTTCCACATGGCTAGATAATATATAAAATAATTTTTTAATTAGAAATTTATTTGGAAAAAAAAAGAAAATCAAAATAGAAATTGATGAATTTGTTGCTTCAAATGAAGAAATTTCATCTAATTAATCAAGTAAGATTATTCTAAATGGGAAAGAGGTGCAAATTTTTTAATTTCATATAATTATAAATGTTATTGTGGTTTGAGTTATTCCGTGTGATCAAATATAAATGAGTATTTGTTTGATGTATTTCTGATGGAGACTAATGTTCCAAATTATAAATGACACCAAATCTCTTTCTATGTTAGAAATTAAAATGTAAAACATTCAACTCCACAAAATTTAAATTAAATCAGGCTTATATTATATAAAACTAAATTCAATGACAAAGCATGTATTTTTTTTTTTTTTTTGTTAACCAAAATCATGTATCAATTATTGAGTTGAATGTTCGGATACGTGAGATATTTGGATCATGATTTTGGTCCCAGTGATCAGCCTTAAGCCTTGAGTCATAACCCGAAGGCATTTAAAGAAGATCATTTGGGCTGAATCCTGGAAGAAGCAAACCAGACCATCATAATCTGTTTGATTGAATGCTCATTAACCCATTTTTGCCTTTCTTTTTTTCAGATGATTTTTTTCACGCACTTGATACTTTGAAAAACAAAGAGTTTTTTTCCAAGATTTCCATTACTTGTTGAATTGATGATCTCATTCTAAAACTTTTTCAGGGCAACGACCTTGAAATAATTGTGATTCAAAAATAATTTTATATAGTATTCACTGATGTTTATAGGGTTTGAGCTATCAATCATGAATTGCATGAACAATCCAAACCTTTTTGTCTTGAAAAATCTTTGGAGATTGCTTTCTGTCATCAATGAAGGTAAGTTATCATTGCTTAATTCATCTGCATAAATGGAAAGTTCATAAAAAATTCTCATCTAAATCTAGTCAGTCTTCCACTGATAAACACATTAAAATCAAGGGGGATTGTTAGTTTACAAGAACGTTAACTACATCCTGCATGATTAAAATTGTATTTCCAAAAGATATTCCCAATAATAGATTCCTGATATCGCACTCAAACATTCTATGTATCCTGGGATCTTGTCGAAGTAGCTGGCACAAAATCCAATAGGCAAATTTGTATAAAATGCAGTTTCAGTAGACATATAACTTTATCCAAAATGTTGTTTCATGTCATAATCCTTAATCATCATTATCTAGACTTGCATCCAACAGGTCCCTTCTCCAAGTAGATACTTCACCAAAAATAGCAGTTGAAAACCAAGATAATTCCTCTTGGTTTACATTCCAAAATATGTTGGAAATCAATTCCTTCCTCTAAAACTGGATTTCCAGCCATCTATTACAATTTAACTAAATTAACTCTGCCAGTTGGGTTAAAAATGATAACCTGGGAGAAAGAAATATGAATCAATGATTCGACTTCCAGTAGCAAAAACATGAGAGATAGGAGCTTCACTAAACTGGAATTTGTTTCACATGATATATAAGAAAAGTTTCTGCCAAGAATGGAAATGCAACAAGATACAATGTGGGAAAAAGCATTCAATAATGTCAGTTTTTTCTGTGCATTAAGTACATGATTAGCCTATCTGGAAAACTGGATACTTCCAATGAAAGCAACCACATGAAATGTTTCCAAGTAAATTCTGGCATATACTTTCACAAATGAGAAGTTCATAATGATTTTCAAACATCTATATCAGTCTTGCATGCTTTTAGAATTACTCAATTCGGTAACCTGAGAATTGGCTGCAATTACATCTTTACACTTTGCCCATCTTCAAATTGACTCGTTAGGCCCGAGATCATCTGACAATGGTATAATCTATCAGCATAATAAGCAACGTGTATGCCAAAGCATTTCGATTACCAGTAGGAAAACATGACCAAAGGATGATTGGGAAATTAGTTATCATGAGAAATCTTGTACGGATTCCTGTGCCTTTATGAAAATTGCACCTAGAAGACAATAGATACAAAGATAAAGAAAGGGTAAATGCTCCAGGAATGCAGATGCAAAAGTTTATGAAGAAAGGGTATTTACCTGTCAAGTAGTGCAGTAGCCAGCTTTTATTTAAAAGAATGAGAACTGAATTCCATGGTAGACTGAATCTTCCGGTACAAATCTACACTATCCTGCTTGCATTTGTTGAACCTCTTCATATATAGAACGAAAAAGAACAGTTGGAATATACCTCTCACCAAAGCTTGGAAATATAACCTGCATCATTAAGACCGTTGAAAGACATTAAAAAGTAGTAGCCCAGTTGATTGTAGTTATCTAATAAACTAGTGATATGCTCGCAAACTGATTGAAGTTTGCGCATGTATATGCATGCTGTCTGTCTGCGTTCGATGCTAGGGTACACTGGAAAGAAGAACTTTAGTTGGAAGCACATTTTTATCTGCCACTGAAATCCGAAATGGATACGAAGTCTCATTTTTCCTGCTTTCCTTCAAGGAGCTTTAACATAGTTGTGTGCTTACCCACACTTTTGATACAATTAGAGCATTGAAGGTTCATGAAGAGCTTGTAGCTAAATCCATTAGATTAGTCAAAAATAATACACCAGGATATGATGATGGGCTGTTGGATTGTGGGAGCAGTTAGTAAACAAATGAATTTAAAACTAAGGTTTAGACTAACTAATTATCACCAGCTGAACCTGCTATCCTAAATTTTATTCACCTACCTTCATGCAGAATAAATAGGTGGCATCAATGGATCTGATGAGAACAATATCATTTTCCCAAATCTGGGCATTTCTCGGCCCACAACCAATTGCATATAAGGCTTCTCAAATCTTGTACTGGTTGAGAATCCCTCCAAAATTTTTGTACCAATAATAACGAATACACTTATTATTATTATCATCTCTACTACTGAGGGTACTGATTATTATTAGTCCAAAAAGTAATGAAGGAAAGCCTAGTCCAGCTTGGTGCATAGATTAGATTTCTTTTAAACTATGTGATGTAAGATTAATGCAGCATTGATGGTGATCTTTATTCAGAATTACCTTTACCTAGACCTCAAAGAAAAGTTTCCTTTAGAATGTCAATCAATCATAATTCTTACAGTTTCAAATTCGCAGCAAGATATATACATAAGACTAAAAACATGCAGGGATTTTTTTTTTCCCACAAAATGAGAAAAAAAGCACACCAGGCTTAAGTTGTTAAATGATAATATTCAATGGCTACTTGAATCACTAAGAAAATGAAAGAAAATTTTCTCACCGCAATAAGTTTTCCAGCGTTCTCAGGCCTTTTTGCTAAGCTAATCGCAGCAGCTGCAGCAGCTCCTGATGAAATGCCAACCTAGAGAAGAAATATCCCAATCAATTAGCAAAACTGGCTGGTTTTGAAAAAATGTATTAATGTAAATTATAAGATTCAACTGGATTTATCTTTTTTCATATAGGTAAGAAACTTCCATGCACCCCCTACAGCAGACCCCATCAAAAAAAAAAAAAGTACCAATCTGACTATGCTGCCTACTAATAGCAAAAGCTTTTGGGTTGAAACTAAAGAAGACCATCTCTATTTTGCTAGTGAAAAACAATCAGCTGAATCATAAGTAGACCTCTTTTCATCAAAGGTGGGAGCACAAGATATAAGAGGAAACACTATTAAAGGGATCTACACTGAAATGTATTTGAAGATTACCAGCAGGCCTTCCTCCAGTGCTAATCTCCTTGCCATATCAACAGCTTCATCATTGCTGACCTACATTTTTATGACAACAAAATAATATCTAAAAGTTCATGTAACTAAATTACATGACAAAACCACATGCGAAGAAACCAATAATAAGCAAAATCAATGGATCAGTTGTGAGGGAACACTTGGACTCAAAAGCAAATTATTCAGCAAGATCATTGTAATAATGCAAGTCCAAAAACCAGAATACAACAGACAAACTAATTTTGTTAGATATGCATTAAAAAAGATGTAGATCATTTGATATGATATGGAGACAAGGACCACCCCCGCCCCTCCTGGTAAACTGCTCAAAAGTTAAGTGTAACATAATGTCAAGATGCCTAGTATACACTTGCAAAATTTTCATAAGCCAAAAGTATTAATTATTGGTAAAAAAGCTAGCATATTTTTACAAGTTGACCGGCTGATCTGCTCCAGCTCTTACATGTTGCTCTTTCACTCAAGGAAATTTCTTATTTAATGGATTTACACACTTTATGTCCTCTAACAAACTCATATATATAGGCTCTCAAAGGAGATCACTTTGAGTTATAGGATGAAAAAATCTTTGACATATCTTGTTTGGAGGTCAGTCAGACTAGCCTTAGCAAGAATGAGCAAGAGAACTCTGCAGTGAAATGATGAGCACCCTATATACTTAGAGAGGAAAATTTTCAGAAACAACTAACTGAAAAGAACATCACATAACCACAATGATATTTGCCATAAAACTAGTTTTGTATAGAACAGAATGTTGGAACCAAAGAAAAACTAACAAATCTCAGCGCTATTCCTCTACATCCAGAAAAGAAAAGAATCGGGGAATAGAGGGAAAGACAATCTTCACCTTGATAACTTCATCAAGCAATTTAACATCTAGGATGCTTGGCACATAACCTGCAGAAAAATCTTTTATGCTATTAAACAAATACATAGAGTGGAAACAGGTAAGAAAATTTATGTTGTGAAAATAAAAAGATTTTGACCTGGGTTTTCTCCAGAGATTATACTCCTCTCAGCAGGTTCCACACCAACTACCTGAGTAAACAATATTATTACAAGAGGAAAACTTACACATGTCGTCAATGAGAAGATGAAAAATAGTAAGATGGGTTCAGCAAAATACACATTAACACTGTTCATAAAACAACTATAAAATAAAAATCACTATTTCCTGCTGAACCGACCTTTGCCAAATGTGTACTACTGCCATTATTAGAAAGAAAAGGAAAAAAATTGCAATAATGTTATGTTATGGAAATTTCACCCCTACAAAAACAAAAACATCCCTAATGACTAACAGTTACAAGCTTGAGATTTCCAGTAAGCATTTAAGCTGTCAAACTGAAGTGAACTTCATAACAAGCTTAAATAGCAAAGAGACCTTAATTTCTTTGTTCATCATTTTCAAGTAACGTCCAGTGCCTGTAACAGTACCACCAGTTCCAATTCCAGCAACAAGTATGTCAACATTACCCAAAGTATCCTCCCATATTTCTGGTCCCGTAGTTTCAAAATGAATCTGCAGTTCATGCAAGAGCCTCTGAACATAACTATCTCTGAATAAAATATCAGTGGATATTAACATTTAGCCATTTAGGTAAACTGTGAGAAAAACATTAATTACCTTTGTATTAGCCATATTATCAAACTGTTGAAGCATGAAAGCATTTGGAGTGTTAAGCACAATTTCTTCAGCTTTATCAACAGCTCCTTTGAAGCCCTTTTCTGGGTCTGTCAGAACAATCTCTGCTCCAAATGCACGTAAAAGGATTCTCCTTTCAAGGTTTATGGAAGCAGGCATCGTTACTATAAGCTTGTAACCCTTAGTTGCTGCAACAAAAGCAATTCCAAGTCCTGTATTTCCACTTGTTGGTTCCACTAATATGGTCTGCAGATGGATATAACCCACAAAAATATTATATGTAATCATGCTTAAAAAACAGAAAGTTTCCACTATGTAAATGTGTCTAAGACTCTGAGCCCAAGAATTTTTGAAAATCAATGGCATATTTGCAGAGGACTTCCATCACGAGCATTAGCAATAAAAAGAACAAGGCTAACCTTCCCAGGAGAAATTGCTCCACTATCTTCAGCCTCAGATACCATACTAAGACCAATCCTATAATGTCAACCATTAAAATACAGAAAACGCCAGTCATTTTTAACATTTTTTCAATAGCCACACATGAAAGGCAGCTAATAGTTTGCACAACATAGTACATATTGAGGTCATATGTAACTTCTAAGAGCCTCCAGTTCCATTGATGACTTGAAGCAGAACCAAACAGATGATTCATGCCCCAAAGTTGCATAAAAAAGATGACCCATGCATGTGGGAATCATTATCTAACAGAAATTGCATTTTAACTACCATAAAAGGCTAAACACACAATTGTAGACTTCGCAGTAGACAGAATGTTTACCTGTCTTTGACACTCCGACAAGGTTCCATGGATTCAAGTTTTGCAGCAATTTTTGCCACACATCGTTCTGTTACTTTGTTGAGATATATCATTGGAGTACTCCCGATCAACTATATCAATTTTGTCACAAGTGCTCAAAATCAGTAACCGTTTGAAACATAAGCATTACTATCAAAGTAAACAAACTAAGGCATAACAGGTAACACCAACATGGCAAGATATTATTGGTCTAGAAGATTAAGGACGATGGTTTAAACTGGCAATGGCAAAAAATTTGACAACACCATTCTCAGATGTAATCACCACCAACTGCAGGAGGTTAAAGAAACAACAAAAAAGGGAAAACCATTGACATCCAAATCCATAGCAGATCACTTCTCTTTTTCCCCCATTTCAACAAAATTACGAAAAACCCATTAGCAATCATAGCCTTAAACCCCCCCCCCCAAAGACAACTTTAAACATGAAAATACAAAATAATTTTTCCTGGAATTGAGGGGGAAAATGGGGAAAAAAAAACCTGGGTTACATCCTCAGCAATGTTAACAGCTTCAAATTCCTCCTTTTGTTCTTCTTCCTCTTCAACCACTAAAGAAGAAGCTTTTCTTGTTGCAGCAAAGGAGACATTTTTTACATTCAATTTAGTTTTATTATACAATGAAAAGTTAAATGGAGTTTTGAATGCTGGAAAACGGTGCCGGTTGGGTGGATAAATAAAGGATTTTGAAGCAGGGAGATGAACCAGAGAAGATGATAGTGCCATTTTTTCTGTTGAGGTTTTCGTGAGGTTTTGGATTGGGTTTTTTGTTTCCACAGTCAAATAGCCTTTTCCTTTTTCGGTTTTTGAAACCTTATCTTTGCTTTTTCCTTACCTTACGAAACTCAATTATGGGCTACCTAAGGTCCCTTCTCCATGGTTGGGCCTTGGTTCACATCTTCCCTAATTAATAGATTTAATAAATTTATACATGATACAACATGATAGGAATAAATAAATGAAAGCGAATTGACTTAAAATTTTGATAAAAATTATATATAAATTTCGTAAAATTAAAAAATATATTTTATATTTTATATGTTTATATAGACTTTGACATCATAAATTTCATATTTAATACGAAATAAATACCATATAAATATATAAATTACTGAAATCTATTAAATAATAATTAAATATTTTTTTATTTGAAAAAAATTTTGTATCCTAAAAATAAATGCGTGTGACATTGAACCAAAAGTCCATGTGAATAATTAAGTTTGAGAAGCTTTCAACAGAACGTAGTTCCATATTAAAAATTTGAATTCATTGGAGCTAGTAATATGAAACTATGAAGGAGCGTGAGAATTTGCAGGGGTTCTTCAAGAGAAGTATCTTAATTTAGATGACAAAGCTTATAAAACATTAAACTGAAGAATCTGCCGGTATCTGATATTTCAACTGTAGAAATGAAATGAAATTCAATTTTGCGCTATAGAATAGACATAGAGCCAGAGCAGCAGACCTCATCATCCAGGATTTGCACTTCTAAAAATTGAGCAAAAACTTTGTGAAGAACAAAATAATATGTACACTCTTTCAGGACAAATATGTTATGTAAATATATGTACATAACTACAAAGATCTGAACCGATTTTTAATACTTCAACTGATTCGAACTTCAGTTACATGGAAGTCACATACCCTTTTAAAGATGAAGAGTGAGTTCATTAACAAGGAATTTAAAACATCAGCCACAAATGAAGTGATTGCTTAGTATGGTTCTTTTTTTCTTTAACGGTCACAGTCTGAAGATAGAGGAAGAGATTGCTGGTGGTAGGATTTAAATTACAAACCTGTTGGATGAGGATTGATGTGTGAATCATCTGAAGTAAATTTAGGGCATCTTTGATATCAAGATCTCAAAAATGCTTCAACTCCATAAAAGAATGTGAAAATTGTTTCCCTTTCTCACCAGAAGTTATTTGGTGCTGGTATAGTTCTTAACCCTCTCTCTTTACGAGGAACAGAATGAGAGTATCTCCTAGACTTGTTTACCTTCATCTTAACAGCAGGAACCTTGCGTGCCAATGACCGCCATATCATTTGAACAGCATCACCTTCCTTTGATGGATATTGATACTCAAATAAAGGCTTAACTTCTTTCAACTTGTCCCACATTCGAGTCCAATCTTCCTTCTTAATGCTCCTAATGAGGTTTATGAGGAATTTTTCTTTTAGAGCATCTGATGTACGAACAAATATGCAGAATTCGGAGTAGTCGAGAACATCTTCATATGGGAGCTCAATCTCATCACTGATAATGACAGGAACACAATGGCTGGCAATGGCATCAAAGAGGCGATTGGATGATGGGGTGTCACCTGCTATGTTTAGGCAAAATTTGGATGAGTGCATTCCTTGGCTGGCTTTGTTGACTCCGTCCTTTTTAACACTTCCAAATGAGAAATGTACATCTTGTTCATCTCTTAGAAGATAAAACAACTCCTGCCGAGCGTATCCACCCTACAAACAACAAAGAAAAGAATAAAAAATCCAGCAGGGAAAAGAAAAGAAATATGAAGCTTAATTCAATTGATTCATGTGGCTAAGGTAACATTTAGCAGGTCTAAAGTTTAAATTCCAGCACCTGCAACTATTTTCTCTATCATCAGATTGCAGCCTCTTTTGTATTAAAAAAAAATGCAGAAGCAAAACATTATTTAATTAATTGGTTGGCCTTTAAAATCCCATTTCTGACTTCTAATTGTTTGTTTTGCAGGAAATTGGGAGGTAATTGAATGGCCTTTAAAATCCCATTACTAACATTTAACTGTTTGTCTTGCAGGAGATTGAGAGGGTTCAAAATAAAAGCTGATATACTCATTTATCAGAGCAGAACCATCGTGATGACCAAATTGCTTTGTGCACGTAAAGGGCTTTCAGTGAGTCAATTTGATCAATAAATTCTCCACTGAAATTCTCTCAGAACATTCACTTGGATAACAGAAAACAGGTAACATAACAAGCAAAACCAGTCTTATAAATAATTACACTAACAGAAATATATATATATATATATATATGTCAAAGAAAAAGGGAACTTACATCTTTCCTGTATATGGCTCCCTGGAAGAACAGCAAAGTTTTCCTGCTATCAAAATCAGATGTATCATTGACATAGCTTTTGATTACATGTTTGTAAGGTGCAATCACATCTTTGTCAACATTTGCTATATTTAGTGGATATCTACCAAAATCTGCAAGTATGAAAATTGCAGGCCATAGTTGCATCCTAGCATTTAGCATACTGTTGGGATGGTGAGCCATAATAATATGGTCTCGCCCCCCTGACATCTTCCATTCCTTTTGAGCTGTCACGAACTTTACCAACTTGGCTTGCAACACCTTGTTCCTGCTCCTCTTCTGATGGGGGTTCACCTTGGAAAATCGATTATAGCACAATGAAGAAAAAAAGGGTACAAATATGAGATCAGCTTCACTAGAATTTTGCACTCTGATTGCAACATGGTTATTGGGATTGTCAGAAATTTCTGAAGCTAGGAGGTCCAATGTCAGCCAATATTCTATACTATGTTGCAAATTCAATCCACCAGGATAAGAGGGTAATCTGGTTCTAACATCAGGCCAAACACTACCTCCTTGGGGCTTCCAATCCAAGAGTCCAAAATGAAACTCAGGTTCTAAATCATACATGAAAATCTTCAGTGGTTCTTTAACATTCCCATTACAATTCATTGCCCCATCCCTATCTTGGAATCCTTCTTCTCTCTTTGGAGGTTCTTCTCCTTCTTCTTCATGTTCTCTTTCATTATTTGTAAGAACCGCTCGATTTGAAGATTCGGAATCGCCATTGTTAATAACGGTAAGAAGCTTTCCAGAAGGCAACAATTTACGATCAAAGAAGCTAGGACGGCCTGTTGAACGTAACACAAACAACCAGGATAATACAAACAACATTGTAGTCGTTAAAAACAAGCAAAAGAAAGATTTCCTTGTGATAGCGGAGCGATGCTTCTCAGCCATGGTAATGTACATATACTAATCCAAGAAAATCCACTGCAACAAGAAGAAAATGTATCCAATTCCCAAGAATCTATATCACCTTTGTATTGAATTCCATTGTAGAAAAAAGATTCAAATCACTTTCATCCACAACCAAAATATCTCTAGTTTCTGTCAATAGCAAGAAACCAGCTGACGAAGGGAGCAACCAATGTAGAAAACAAAGCAACCCCAGAGTGAAAAACCAATCCAAAGTCTGAGAAATGAAGCAAAGAAAACCAAGGATGAATCCAAAAAGATTGGAAGGGAAATTAAGCACAATTTTTGAATTATTGGGTGGATTGACCACCAAGAAAAATTGGAAAAAAACTGTCAAAAAAATTGTAATGGTAAATAGTTGTTGTAACTAAGCTGTAACGCTTTTGATTCTTTTCTGTTTCAATTTTCTCTCATTTTCTATCTCTTTCTCTTGTAAGCAAAAGAGTTAAGAAAATGAAGCGTGGGACTAGGATCTTTCCGAAGAAGCGGGCTTTAGTTTTCTTCAAACTAGACTTCTTGTGATGTAAAACAAAAATATATTATCTTCTAAAATAAAATGTTACCCTTAATCTCAAATCGAAAACCACTTAAATATGAGAAATGACTTTAGCAATTGAAGTAACAGATTCTTTTAATTTTCTTTTGAAATAAGCTTGGTTGTTGTATTAATTCTTTGCTTTATTATAGAAGAAATGCATATATTCAGAGTAAAATTTTGTTATGACCCAAGGTAATTTTATTTTATAAATCTCAAATTAAAATTTGTTAGTGATTTTCTTTCTTCTTTAATTTCTCTGACACCAACCACCTTCAAGATATCAATGTGAGGGAAAGGGGATTAGGTCAACATATTCATTAATGGTTTGCCTGAAAATGTTAGAACTTGTGAGTATCATCTGTTTATAAAATATATTAAATTTTTAATTAAAATTTAATTTTGATAATTTTAAATATAAAAAATATTAAAATTCATTTATATATAAAAAAAAAATCTAGGAGAGGTAATTTAACAATAAAAAAAAATGCTGAATATTCTAATGCCACATGAACTTTCAAAAATTCATGATTGTTAAGGTAGGTTGAGCACACATTTTTCCTGCTTAAGTAAGTGGATGTGAAATTCAACACACTTTAATCCAAGTTAACTATTTGTTCTCTATATGATAACGATTGGAAAAACTTATTTAATTCATTTTTTATTCTCCTTTAATCAAAATAATGGTTTAATTGTCATTAACAGCATGTTTTATTGATAGAGCGTTCGATTTTTTTGTAATAATCAAAATTTAATTTCTAATAATTTTAAAGATAAAATATAAAAAATAATGGCTTAATTAACAATTTAGAATATAGTTTGGAACCTTTATATAGGAACAATTTATATCATTAACTTGAAAATGACTAAAAAAAACGTTCATAATTAGGGCAGGTGAAACTTGAGCATGAAAGCCTCATGCTTTTTTTTTTTTTTTTTTGAATTTCGCTTTCCCATGGTTCTTTATGTAAACAATAGCAGATCCAACTGGCACCTTTTAAATTATTCTTAGTGGTTTTGTGCAAATCAGAAAGAGCATCAAATGTTATCAGGAAGAGCTTAAGAGCATTATTTAAGGTTACCATTAATTTATAGAATAACACTTTTGTTCAATATGTCAAAAATCATTAAAGGTAGGGATTTGGCCCATTCCATGTAGTTGGTTAGGATCTATAGTTTAATCGGTTGATAACCGGGCACAATACTGTTTAAAAATATATTTTAATTATTCTTGCTTGGATATTAGTTACTGATCTTGTTCTTCATTAGTAAGATTATAAGTTACCAAATAAAAAAAATACTAAGTTTAGCTTAACTTTATTAAAAAAAATTTCACATTTTCCAGTACAGGGTAATGGAAAATCCTTATAATGGTTCAAAGCATCTGAATTTAAGACCATTGGCTCCAATTATTGGAAAGTTCCAATTAGAACAGGAGATGAGTACATAACAAAAGGCTTTGGTCGCATCAATGAAGAAGATAAAAAACAGTCTGACTGGAATTGATGAAGATGAATACCAGTCTGAGTGGAGCTTGACCTTGTCTAAGAGGGATCAGAACTGAAACTGCATCTCAGGTGAATATCCAAGAGCATCAAGGTGTCCGGACATGGCCTTGTTCATGGGTGGCGGCCCACACCTTAGAATCTACGAATCACAATATCAAATTACAGTTTCTTCTTGGTATTTTTTTTGTATCCATGGCAAGATACGTAACACTTAGAGAGTTCAGGCAAACTCAGGTCAAGAATGTAAAGAAATAGGTATAATACCTGGATATCATGTGCCGGTGCAGGGCAGTGGGTTTGAATCATTTCCTTTGACACAAAGCCGACACCACCATCCCACACTTCAGGAGCCTAAGGAAACAACATCATCATAATGTAGTTTGTCAATAAAATGACCATTAGCTTGGACATGCAGTGTGTAAAAAGAAGCCAACTGCAGCTCTTCAACCACAAGAATACACACACATGGAAAAAGAGATGCAGCGATAGAACCTTTATTTCCCAAATGCCATATGTATGCTACTCAAATGCACATGCAAGTTGTACCACACATCAGAACAGTTCAGTAAATCATGTAAGAACACCATTAATTAGTCCAAGAGTGTCATGATTTTCAATTAAAGTAACACTTATCAGACATTGTTCAAGCAGTTCAAACCATACACTAAGTGCATTACAGAATCAGAGGAAATTGTGTCTGTGCAGCCAAATGGAGTGACAAGTAAAGAATATCATGGATATAAATTCCAAATCCTATTTGCTTCTCAAATAATTTCTCTCAGAGGCGCCACTGCAGTTGTCCTTTCTACATTTGAAAAGCATTTATATTTCAAAAATCTTTTTTGTTTGTGTTATAGTCAAAGCAGAAAATTTTCTGGCATTATTATTCTTTACTCCAACTACAGCTAAACAGCATTATCCATCTTTGTATTTGCAATGCTGCTATGCAAGAAAAAGAGAAGGGAAGAACATAATGGCACTTCAGATTCAGAACAAGCTACCCTGCTCCTAGGCCTTAGACAATATTTACAGAAAAATAAGCAGATGAAGAATGAATAAAACATGCTAGGAGATTGCCACATAGGAAAGGTAACAAACCTGGTTCAGAACATAGTAGACATTGAAGCGACCAGGGTACTTGGCAACAAGGCTATCCAACTCTTCCTGAAAATAAATCATTTGAATATTACTTTTGATCCATTTACATCTTGAAGTATTGCATTTCTTAATTCCTATGAACTAGTCACTAACCACCCATGCTTGTATTTCTTCCTGTGCAAGTACATCCATGGTAACCAAAAGAATCGTTGCACATTAAATGTGCAACATTAAAAAATAATCACAGCTCGTAATGTGATCTCTAATAATGATAACATGGAAATGAAATCCACCATTATGATGATTATTATAAAACAAAATAAATTTTGAGTCATTGTCCTATGAGGTAAGTCTAAAGCTCTAGCTTTAGGTAGTAAAGACATAAGCAAGGGATTTGGCCAATCTTATGTTTGGACTTTGCTGCACCAAAAACAACAGGTCTTGCCTTGTATAGAATTGCATTCAGGGCAGCATTGCCCATACAAGCAGGCTAGTGTTCTTTTCTCCAGAATGGGAAGACAGTAGAAACCTATCTCTGGTTTGTTAGTTTGGAATAGTCAATAAAGTGAGTAGTAGAAAGATTAACAACAAAGACGTAGGAATCTAAAGTACCTTCAAAAGAATGTCCTCATACGTGACGTTCGCATAAATAAGGTGTACGTTTGTCATGTCATTTGGGTTCTCCAAAATTGCTCTGGCGACCTAATCAGTAAAAAAAAAAAAAAAAGGGAAGAAGAAGTGGGAGACATGTTATATACCAACAACAACAACACACTAAGCCTTATATCCCATACTCTGAGGTCAGCTATAAACCACATACAGTGGCAGACATGTTATATAAACACTTAAACCTTGCAAAAGACTATAGCTAAAACATATAGCAAGCCAACATCTCTCAAATATGAGAAAATATATGTTGATAAATGATAACATACCTGGAACATTGGAGTAATGCCAGAGCCTCCAGCAATCATCCCAAATGCTCTAACTTGACCAGGTTGGTACCTGAATCGTCCCTGGAAAAACAATTCGCAGGACAACAACATAAAGAAATGAGAACCAAAAGAGAATTATAATGTCAAACATAATTCAGAAGAGGCAAGAAAGCCAGCTAGGCAGCAAGCCTTCAATAAAGAAGAGGAACACATATAAAACAAACATGATATGTTAATATTCTATAGGACATGCATTGCAATGTTTGGTAAGATTGCCTCATCCTCATCAGTAATGAAAGTAACAATGAACTTTTATTGGGATAATCTAATATTTCAGGTTGCAATAAAGGCAAAAATGACTAGCCTGCAAAAAAAAAAAAAAAAATTGTTGCTAAACCAGTAGAAATGTTATCCACCATACTTTTTCTATTGACACAGCCTTATGAAACAGGGCACAAAAGGAACCAAGAATCCTACAGCCAAGAGCCACTTATGCATTCATAAAAAAAAAACCGTGTACCTTGGGTCCCTTCACAGCAAGACAATCACCAACATGCATCTCTCTGAAATGGTGCGACATCCTTCCTTGAGGATACATCTACTTACAAGCAAAATTCCAATAAAGTTAGTAGATGTGACCACCTAGATATTAAATATCACACTGAAGTCAACTCCAGGCAGCAAGAAGTTTCAGGCAAGTACCTTAATAACCAATTCAAAATAACCAACGTCAGAATCCAATGTTGTAGGTGTATATGGTTTAATAACGTCGGTACCTTCACTATCCAGGCCCCTGTTAATATGAAAAACATTTAACTTGTATGGTAGTCCAGTTCACAAGCATTAGGAAAGTATCAACAACCTCTAGACAAGGAAGAAATACATAAAGGATGAATACAATCTACTGAACCTGCAACTTATATGCTGTCCAATGGGAAGACCCAAAACTGAAGTAGGAGTAGGAAGTTCAAATGTGAATTTTGCCACATTATGGCTCAGCTGGTGGCGCTTAACAAGTTTAAACTCTTTGAAATTCTCTGGATCTAGACAGCCTGAAAACACATATGATAAAGTGAGCAACTTCACAAGAAAACAACACATTAACAAAACTCAGAGAAAGAAAGAATTTACATGGGCAGAGATATATTTTAAGTCTCAATAAGTAAAACTTTACAGTGACAAAGAAAAAACGTAAATTAACTTCTAAAATTTGCATTGGCTCAGAAAAATCCATTTGCAAAAGAGAATAACCTTTCCCAAAATCTTAGTAAGCAATATTTTGGCAAAATGAACAATTGTGTATTGAAATGCAAAAAACTAACAATAATAAAGTAGTTTGAGCCCAATAAGATGAAAGAAGGAAGCAGGCAGAGGAGGAATGGGAATAAAATATTTACAGGCCAATTATGGTACAAGGAACTAAGGATACATGTGGAGATCAACAAGTCTAAAAAAACCAAATTCAAGTAGATTTGACCAACCAGACCACTTGAACCTGCAAAATTGCCTAACCTAGAGTCATATGTTAAAACCAACACAGTAGTTCGGTCTCTCGTCATGTCTGACAATGTAACTTTACGATCAGAAATTCAGAAAAATACACATCAAAATATTGCCAAAGATTGACTTCAGTTGCTTTTAACCTTTTTCAAGTTCTTCCAGCATACATTGTTATTTATAGGAGCCACATAATACCAGGCTCAGCCAGTCATAAAGCTAACCTAGAAAGTTATAATTGCTCAACACCCTGAGCTCCACAATCAGACACGAAAGCTAAGTTGGCATTCAGTACTAATGCATGCAATTGCTTACTAGGAAAAAAAAAAAAAAACTTCATTAGTAATAACTTGCTTTTGACAGCAGGGTAAAGTACATCTGCTGCTATATCCACTTTTTTGTATAGTAATAATTTCTATTTTATCAGGAAAAAAAAAAGAAGAAGAAAACTTCAATAAAGAGCTATAGATATACAGCTATTCCATCCAAGATACCAAGCTATAGATGTTTTATGTGACATTCATTCAATCCCCGAGCATTTAATTTCAAACTCTACAGAAGAAACAGAACTCTATCCTATACCATACTTTCAATCGGCATGCCAAAACATGCAGGAATCAGAACAAATCATGACCAACAGAAACAGTCTCAAAAATTTTACAAGCTATTCAAACAATCTGAAGATTTTCACAACCCAGTTTTATCTTTTATTCACTTCATTGTAACAACAAGTTAATATCTGTGTCAATACCAAACATACCAAAAAAAAAAAAATTAAACAGACACAAACACACCAAAACATTCACAGAAATCCAGGATTTAGTACACCCATTACTTAAACTTCAAAGAACAATCAATAAAAAAAAAAAGAAATAATCTTTGAATAAAAGAACAGACCTTTAACAGCTAAAATATATGCGAAAACCCAATTAAGTGAAAAGTCAAACCTTTGGATTTCCTAGAGGAAAACAGATAAGCAGCACCAACAACAATGGCTAAGACAGCGACTCCTACACCAACAAGAATCTGAACATCCACAGATTGCAAAAATTCCAAATCCATGATCTTAAAACCAACCACCCCAATATCTAACCCTGCCAATAAAAAGACCCCAGATTTATAAATAATGGGTAGAACAAAAAAAGGAGGTGGGTTGGTATTCCTTGTTTTAACTTTTACGTTGATGCTTTGGTTTGGCTTGGTGTAGTTCGGTTCTTGGCAGAGAAGAGAAAATCGTGAAATGGGTAGGTGCAGACACAATTCACGAACCTTTCTATTGAGACCAAACTGAAGGATCTGGTGCACCTACCTCCGCTTCACACTATGACACTTGATATATGATGTGGGACCTGATTATCTTATTTTTTATACAATTATTTCAGCAAAAAATCTTTTATTTTTTTCTTATAACATATTGTTTATAAATATTAAATATAAATAGACTTTTTTTTGTTTGTGTATATATTGTTTTATCCAAAATTTTTTTTTTTTTGTAATTTGTTGAGTTGATTCTTTACATATTGCGTCATCATTTATATTATGAGAAAGATTTTTTTTTTTATCTTCAGTTTTTATTTAATTTATTGTATTTGTGGGTAATGTGTTTTTTTTTAAATATTGTAGGTAATGTGTTTATATCTGATTTTTTTTATCCAATTTTTCTTAGCATTGCAAGCAATTACTCAAATTTTTTTTTATAAAAAATCAAAACTTGAAAAAAAATAAAAAATAAATAAAATAAAAAACTATAATTAAAAATTTAAAATGTTTGGCAAATTAATTTTATGGAAACTTCATGTACTTTAATCCCAAGTGCCAAACGCCAACAGTTTCGCCCGCACCTGGTTTCACAAACTAAAAACTGGCTTTGAATTTTTTTTCGTTGTCCAAAATTGGCAACAGTTGAAATTTACCACTTTGACCTATGGAAAAATGCTACCAGCGAAATGATTCACTGTAATAGTTGGATTTTTAGTTGTAGTAATAAAATTAAATTTTGATAATTTTTTATATAAAAATTATTAATTTTATAGTTTTATATAAAATATAATTTTTTATATAATATTGAGTTATAAATAATTTAGTATAAAAATAAATTTATGTTTTTAATTAGGTTAAAGAGTACAAAAAATTATTCGAACAAAATTTTAATAATTATTTAAATTTTTATTATTTTATTATTATCAATTAAATTTTTAAATATTTATTTTCATTAATTAAATTTTTATTAAACAAAAATTGATTAACAATAAAAATACATTTTCATTTAGCCAAAGACTCGATTAAAATGAAAATAAATATTTAAAGATTTAATTGAATAAAATAAATATTAAAAATAATATGATAAATTGGGATTTAAGATTCAATAGGTAGTCTTTAAATTTTGTAAGATACAAATAATAAAACTGAAAAAATAATATGATAAAAGGTAATCAAAGAGAAGGAAAGAAAAAAATATAAATGAACTTTAAAAATTGATTGACAAAATTAAAAAAAAATTTACAAACAAAAGCCAATAAAAATTATTGAGAATAATTCTCTCAAAAGATTTACTGATAATGAATATCCACTAATAGCATCAAAGCCCAAAGATTTATCCATGAATTTTAAGCCTAAAGGGCCACAAAACTAAAGCCCAAACAAGCAATTGAAGTTGGAAAAAACACACTGTTGCCATAAAATGTAGTGTGTGAATAGTGTTCATGGATTGGGATTTGTTATATAGTATAATGCAAAAATCAGAGTAAATTCGGATGAATTTATGAGAATATCCGTAGTAATACAAGTAGCTTGAATGCAGCTCTGTGTTTCAATATAATTAAATCGGATTGGTCTTAAGGCAAATAATAATCACACAAGGACAGTGGTTTCCTGTTCTATCAGCTTCTAAATCATTCTGTTTTGTCCTGCTTGCATCTGGGATGATGTCCATATATGTTCTAAACTCTTAGCAAAATCCTTCTTTCTGTGGAAGATTACAGTACGATGATCAGCATTTTGAATAATATTAAGTTCCACTTCTGGGAACTTTATCTTGATGTTATTGCTGCACTCCAATGGGACAACCAGGTCCTGATCACCATGGATTACACAAACATTTACTCTTGATCTTTTCAAAATTTCCAGATAGTCATCCATAAACTTTGCTCCCCCACATATGGTATTATGCATGCTATGCCAAGCAGAATGATGGGTGTGCCTAGTCAAGTCTACTGTCATGAAATTGAGTTCCCTGGAGTAGCAATTTTAGGCACAAACTTGTCACGGAAAACCACAATTACATAATTATCATGTTTGTCATATTGAATGCATATATTTTTTTGGTCAACTGGATAGGGGATAAGGAATCAGGATGGTGAGATTCGAACTCTCACTTTATATATCTTCTTAAGCTTTCTTAATCATTAAATCAAGAAGTTGAAGACTTGAATGAATATATTTAAATATATTTGTGTGCATGTGTGTGTGTATAGATCTATATATATAATTTATCAGTAAAGAATGATTAATTTGTTACCTTTGTCGAGTCGATAGCTTCAGAATCCTCTCCCACATCCTATGGTGCCTGCAAAACAGGAAGCAAAAACATCTACCCACATGCTCATACCATGACATAACAGATTTACCAAATGCTAATGGTGGCCACAGTGTTTTTCCAGCAAGTGTGTTAAGCACCATTGAAGTACTTGTTCCATCTTTTGCAGAAGGGAAGTAGGGCTAAATGTAGAAGCACAAAAAATGTTCCATGTGAGATAAATACAAAAAAAAAAAAGAAAAGGAATGAAACAGACAGATTTAACAAAAGGGAGGTTTTGGGTGTTTTAAGAAATCATTGAACTGAAAAGGCTTATTTTTTAAGGTTAATGTTATCTACTCACAGGTGCAACAATAGTAACTGATTTGACAAACTTTGAGTGTTTTGCAGCTAAGGCCACAGCAATTATGCAACCCATGGAATGTGCCACCAAATGGAAAGAATTCAACTGAAATGGTGAGATTACAGATTTCTCAATCATTTCCACATGATCACTCAAAGTATACATACAGTCACTTGGCTTTGGACTTCTTCCAAATCCCAAAAGGTCTACAGCAAAAAGTCTGTAGTGACCCTTTACAGGTCCAGAGAGATTCTCAAAAACTGTTTCTGTCCAAAATGAGGAAGAGGAAAGGAACCCATGTAAAAATATCACATTTTCAGCTGGGTCTCCTCTTGGAACCTCAGCACTTACTGTCAAACGAAAATATTGGCATCAAAATCAGCAACCATTTGATACAACATTCAACTGTTTATTGCATTCAATTGATAGATGTTCTAAGTAAATTACTATAACATATTGTTGTTAAATAACATGAATGACTGTGGATTGACAGTAAATTTAGTAATTTTAAGCATAATACGGCAATATAATACAAAACGATTAAAAAAATTGATACAATTTAAAATTTCAACAAAATCATATATGAATTTGATAAAAATAAAAATAAAAAAGTTTTGTGTTTAGAATGTCAATATAAATTTTGACATAGCAATTTTCATGTTTACATGTGTTATTGTATTAAATATGAAATAAATAAAAATATGAATACATGAATTACCATATTTAATTAACAGTTTATCATTGTCAACTTAAATTAATGTGTCAATCACTATAATATCGTGGCTAAGGCTGCTAACTGCTTTGATAATTTCTACCATCAATTACAAAACTGAAAAGGTCTTGCTCAAAGAAGTAAGAGGAAGGTAAGGATGTAATTTTAAATTGAACATAATTCAATTTCATTGTTAATGATTCATTGCTGTTCAAAGTAATGATTAAAAAAATTAAAACCAAATTAGGAATTGCCTAAAAATTACCTTGTGAAAGCTCTTTCACAACAACATGAAGCTTCTGATTACCATTCTTCATCCAAGAAATACAGAACTCACATCCACAATCAGACCACCTATTCACCAACCCTCTTCTGCTACCATCACCATCTTTTTTCTTTCCATATTCCCATTTCCTTGCAAAACCAAGAAACCCCATTTCTCTGAACACATTTTCCCTCCCATACAAAGTCTCTGACAACTCCTTCTCCTCACCACAACACTCTCCATTTTTCTCTCCCTTGTTTCCACAATAACATGGAGTGGCTTTACCTTCAAAGAACTCATCAAGTAACTTGTAAACCACACAAAGAACAGTATCAAGAAAGTCAAGGAAAAGAAAGACAAGAAAAGTGATGACGTCGAGGAGGATTGTGCCACACTTCCTTGTCCATTTTCCTGGTAAATTTGCAACAGGCATTGATGGAAAAAGAAGTGAAGCAAAATTGGTATAAAGAGAACCGGACAACTGAAAAAATTTTGCGGGGATTGAGGATTGGACAGGAATTTATAGAGTATATATATATATTTATCAGAGTCATCCAAAAATATATCAGGTTAAAGACAAGAAGTAAAAATGGTTTTCGATAACATGAAGATAAAGAGTTTCAGAATCCTGGAAAAGATTGTTGTTTAAATTTACCCCTTTTTCTTTAATTAAATTTTCCTTTGCCTTTTTTTTCTTAACCAAACATGAAGGAATAAAATTTTCCTTCCTTGCTATTTTTCCTAGCTGGTACCAAACAAGTGCAAAGGTATCCACAAAGTTCCAAATCAAGGGAAGAAAAAACAAAAAGATAAGTTGTAGAGTTTAGAATATGCTCCTTACAGATAAGCTTTCTGGGTTTTAATTTGCCCACCTCTAATTCATTAGCTTTGGGCCCGAACCAATTAAATCAGTGATAAATGCATGTTTAGGGTTGGATTACCTAAATTTATGGTACTTTTTAACAAAAAACACAGCTCTTTTTATCTAATATTTTACAATAAAAACAATTAAAATTTATGAGTACAAGTTTTAGAAGGATTATGCATTATTGGGTCCGGATGCTTATAAGCATCGGTTTAAAATAGTTAAAATATTTTCAATTACGTATTTCTTTTCTTAAATATCATTTTAACTAATACCATTAGGCAAGTATTTGTTTTGTTTTTGCTAATTTCAACGGGATTATTGGGACAGTCAGAGAAAAAAAAATGACATTTCTATTAGGAGCTTATATAATTCATGTGCTGTAAATATTTAATAAAAATTTGACATAATATTCAAAGAAATCCTTAAATTTCATTAAAAAATTAAAATTATAAGTATTAAAATTCATGTCCAATGAAGAAAACAGACTGCCAACTCTTTTTTTTTGCTTTGATGGAAGCAAAAAAAATTATTTTATTAAACAATAAAAACATATATTTTATGTAACATACATATAATCATAATTAAAGAACAAAAAAAAAAAAAAAAAGAAAGATAAAGAATTAACTAAATGCTTGCATGGCATCTATATGTATATGAGATGCATATAAAATAAAAAATAAATAACAATTAACAAATTTTATAATGAAAAAAGAAAAGAAAAAAAAAAGAAACATACACGAGATTAAGTCACGAATTATTGATTCCTTACTCTTTGATCATGCTTGACATGTTGACCTGTCCCAAAAGCGAAAGAAATAGAGAAATTATTAAAAAAAAAAAAGTACATCTGGTGTAAATAATTATTTTTAATTACGTTTGGAAACATTTATTGTTTAAAAATATATTATTAACTTTGAATTGATATTTATTTTGAAATCATAAAATATTAAACTAAATAATTTGATTACATATTTTGATAAAGTTTTACTTAATACAAATTAATTGTTCAAATTATATCATTTATATTATTTTAAAAAATACTTAATCTTTTAAGTTGATTTAAAATGAAGTCTAACTTTTTTATTACAAATATTTATTCTTGAACATAAAATTACTTTGAAAATTCACAATATTTGTTTCAATATTTTACACGAAAGTTATTCCAAAAATATTAGTTTTCAAATGGGTGATATTGGAATTTAAATGAAGTATATTTTTCAACAATTTCTTTTTTTTTTTTGGATGAATATTTTCATCAAATTCGATATATATTTATACTTATATATGATATAACCGATCAAACATATACATATTCATCTTTTATTTCTGTGAATATAAGGGCCCTTGAGGCTTGAATAAAATCACAGTTACAGTCCTGGAAAATCAATATTTTTACCCACGAATTTCAAACTTCATGCAAATCATGATGATCAGCTGCAGCATTTTCCCAAATCTGCAACAAATCATGAGCAAAATCTTTCTCTCTTCTAAAGATGACAGAGCGGTGGCCAGCATTTGGGATGTTGTTGACCTCCACATCAGGGAATTTCTTCTTCATCTTGTCCCCACAATCTGGTGGAACAGATCTGTCCCTGGTTCCCATAAATACGTGCACTTTTTTCTTTGATTTCATCAAAATTTCCAGGTTTCTATCCATCTGTTTTACTCCCCTGTATAGCACATTATGTGTGGTATGCCAGCCTGAATGATGGGTGTGCTTGGTCAAGTCCAAAAACATGAAATTCAGATCCCTAAAACCCAGCAAAGACAACATACCGGTGTAAAAGGCTATCTCTCACCGAATAATTAATGAGTTTAATTTTTATTTTTATATGAATGAGACTGGAAATAAGGGAAAAGGATTATTTACATTAGGATTTAAATACTAAATTTATTAGATGTTATTTTTTAAAAATAATTACATGAATTAAATAATAAGTTTCGGATTCGTTAATGATTTTAATTTATATATTAATAACTAAATCAATTTTTTAAGGGCAATTTTAAAGTTATCATTTTAAGTAATAATTTCTTTAAATTTATTAAATGGGTTGTATTAACCATATTGATGGTTAAGATGATTCATGTAATTACTTTTTAAAAATAATATCTAACAAATATGTAATTTAAATTCCAATACTTAAGATATTTTTTTCTATCGAATTACAAAGTTTTTAATTATAAAATATTAAATTTTAATTTAAAAATTTATAAAAAATTTCTTTTAATATATATATATATATTATTTATATGTATGTTCACAAGTGGGTGTATTACCAAAAAAGTTATACTAATAATTTTGGCTTATTACCTTACTCCTGTGAGTCGCTTAATAAGCCTCTCCCATGTCGTATGGTTTCGGCACATTAATAAACAAACACATCGACCCAAGTGCTCATACCATGTCATGACCGATGAAAGAAACGCTTCCGGCGGCCACAATTTCTTGGGCGTAAGGCTATTGATCACCGTGAATTCTACTCCATCCTTTGAAGGAAAGTAAGGCTGAAGAAACATTAATCCAAAGTAAATAAATTTTGGTTAGCTTTTAACCAGTTGATTTTCCATATTAAAACTTTGTCATTTTAAATTGAATATGCTAAATTGTCAGATTGTTTCATAAAATAAAATCTTATAAATTTGACTTAAGTATAAAAAACTTCAAATTAAAATTAAATAATCATTCAAATTTTTATCTTTTTATTGTAATTAATTGAGAACTAAAATATATATTGTTTCTCCATTGAGATTTTATTAGATGTAAATTGATTAATCTTGAACACTCATATTCGTCCAATCAAAAATTTAATCGAATGAAAATAAATATTTAAAAATTTAATTAATTATAATAAAATTAATTGTTTAGATAATTATTTAATTCGAATTCAAGAGTTTTATTTTACATTTAAAATTTTATATATACTTACAGGGGCAACGAGGGTGACGGATTTGACGGATTTAGAGTGCTTTGCAGCCAAGGCTAAAGCAATGATGCAGCCCATGGAGTGAGCAACCAAGTGAAAAGAATTTAATTGAAATCGAGAGATTACAGATTTCTCAATCCATTCCACATGGTCGTTCAAAGTGTATAAATTGTCCCTTGGCTTTGGACTTTTACCACATCCCAATAGATCAAACGCAAACATGTTGTAGCCATTGCTCTTCTTCGATTCAGATAGCTGTGGGAAAAGCGTTTTTGTCCAAAATGAGGAAGAACTGAGAATCCCATGTATGAATATCACGTTTTCACTTGGATTTGGATTTCCCTTTGAATCCTCTGTAATGGCAGTTAAAAACTAAACTTCAGTTAAAAAAAAAAATTGAAATTATGCGTGTTGATCTTTTTATTGCATGTAAATAAATTTATAATTTTTTATTTATCTATAATTATAATCATAAATTTTTAAAATTAATAAAAAAAATTCAATTAAAATAGCATAGAACTAACATTTGTAGTATAAGATATATTTAAGTATTAAGCTAAAATTTAGTATAAGATAGCTTATTTAACTAAAAATTATAAATGTTGGCTGTTGGCCTGTCTAGATAGTAGGATTATTCACAAATAAAATGAAAGTATTAAATAACAAATTTATGGGAATAACTACCCATTTTAGATTCTTGATTTCATCAGTACAACAACTGGTTGAATTAAAGTATATAATTTTGTATTTAAATATAAATTTTGGTTGTTAAAATAAACATTTTATTGGTCATGATCATGATGAAAGTATGTGATAAAGTTTATTTTCTCAAGGAATATTTGACTTTAATAAAAGAAATGCAGCGTAATACATCAGATTCAAATGCTTCGATCATTACCCCCATGTAAATAAATATTTGATTAAAAAATTAATTTTAAACCAATCAATCGCAAGATTGATTTGGTTTTCGATTGATTCTTATTGAATGATGTTTTTCAAATCAAATAAGTCGATTATGTATCCAATTCAGGTAAAAAAATTATACAAAATTATTTAAATAAAATTCGTAAAAGTTTTTATTAATATTTTTTAATAAAAACTTTAATAAAAATTAAAATGGATGGTTGATAAAATTTAATAAGAAATTTTATAATATATAAAAAAAATTTATTAAAAATATCGTTTATAATTTAAATTTAATCAATATTTATTTAAGAGAAAAATTCTATCAAAAATTTTTTAAATTTTATATGTTTGATATATATAATAAAATCTTTCAATCTATCAATTGAAATTTTCAATTTTAATTTTAACTTAATTATTATTAATAGCTAATTTGACGAATTTTTTATAAAAAAAATTTCATGTAAATATTTTCTTTCAATTCAATAATAATACATGTACCGTTGCTCAAAGAGTTGACTTCAAATTTTCGTTTAAAATTAAAAAAGACAAAAGTGCATCCTCATGATCAATCACGTACCTTGTGAAGAGGCCTCCTTCACTACAACGTGAAGCTTGGGATCATCGGTCTTCATCCAAGAGATGCAAGAATCACACCCACAATCAGACCACCTATTCCCCAACCTATGGACAGCAGCCTTTTTCTGGTTCCTGAAACGATAATCACCTTCAACACCCTTCTTTTTGTTCAACAATTTCTCCACAAATTGAATCAAAACAATTAATTCCTTCAGTTTCTTTTTCCTCCCATGCAAAGTCTCTGACATCCCAATTTCCTCATTGCCTCCCATTTTCCCATTGCTCCCATTCTCACTGATCTTCGTGGTCGTGCAGTAACATGGAGAGGCCTTCCCTTCAAAGAACACGTCAAGATATTTGTATATGACACAAAAAACAGAATCCAGAAAATCAAGATATGAAAACACAATGAAATTTGGAGCTGACAGGAGGGTTTTGGTGAATTCTGTTGTCCATTTTCTCGGGAAAGTTGAATTAGACATGGAAAGCATATATGTGGTGTTTGAGAAATGCAAATCAAAACATTAAGACTTGAGACTTTAGGTGGTGATGACGGAATTTTATATCCATGTTTATATAATAGTAAATTGGCAATGTGGCAAAGATGGAAGACTGTGACCAAATTAAATATCCCATAAGGGAATTTTATGATGTATGCTAAAGAAAAACAAAAAAAATTTAACAATAATGGCTTGCACATTAAAAGAAAAAAAAATTACATGTGAGTTGTACATGATATCCCTTGATTAATTCTTCTATGAAATCGATACAAGTATTTTTACTTAAGATTACTAGAGATTTAATTTTGATTATTAAAATTAAAATTTTAATATTTTATCAACAAATCATATAATTATTGATAAATTTAATACAAGTTCTAATTAGTCTTGAGTATTTTAAAAATGCACGTTGAAGGTAAGAAAAAACCATAATGCAATTACAAAACTAGGAAATGGAAATCTTTTGCATTTTTCTTTTGAGAAAGGATTAAGAAATCCATTAATAATGTGTGCAGATCTTTTAGAACACATAAAAAAATTATCTAAATAATTATTGGCAAATCTTACTATTTAAAAATAATAATAATTAAAGGTATGGAAAACAAAAACTATTTTAAAAGGAAACTATTGAGATCTTTTGTTTAGAGGATCCCAAAAAATTCCAATCTGTGTTTTTTATTATTATTATTGTTATTATTATTTGGCCATTGTCTTCTTGTGTATCAATAGAACAATGAGAGATAGTGAAGCATCTAAAAAAAAATAATGAGATGACATGCACCTAGCATTTGTTTAGTGATATATTTATATTTTCTGTTCAAAAGTTTATATTCGAATTCTTCCTCCCATAAATACTAAAAAACTCCAAATAATCGAAGCAAAAACGTTAAACTCCAAATAAATAGATTTTTTACAAAGTAAGTTGCAAGCTGATGTAGGAGTTTCAAGTATGTAAAATGGTACTACACTTTCTGGTGAAGGTTTCTTCTTCTCTAATAAAATGATGAGGAAAAAAATAGCAATGAACTTCACTGTTGGATGTTTCAAAAGATACATCATAATAATAAGAAATTATTTTTTGTTACCTTAGCTACTACTGTCACTTTCCTTTTTCCCTGGATCCGAGTTCACAACTGGGAGATTTCTACGATACTGTTGAGATGTCAATCTCCTCTCCAATGGTGTTTTCCGCTTGCTTACCACAAACCTATTCACCCCTTTCCTCATTGGCATTATCGAAGGGAAATCTTCATCGGGAATCTGACTGAGCTCCGAAATGTCCTTTATCTGGGCAGCACGTCGAAACCACCTCTCTGCTTTGGCCTCCTCCGACATGTCCAATGGATCTGGTTCCTTCACCGCTGAACCTTCCAAACTCTTTCCAGTCCAAGTGCTCCTATCATTCTGATCCCCAGAAGGTTGATGTGAACTTCCTGTGGAATATGTCACCTCTTTCTGACTCTCATTCCTAGAGTATCCACTAATCAAATTATCATCATTCCTCCTTTGGGGATTGATAGAATTCTGGTTTGAATATCCACTAGTCTGTGCCAAATAAGAAGCATCTCTCCTTATCTCATTTGAGTTCTCTCCAGAAGGTTTTGAGCTCCAGCTCTGTGTCTGTTGATTTTGCATAGGTTGCATATTTTCTGTAACAGAGGCCTCAGATAACTTCTCTGAATGCTTCTCTGGTGTCACAGAGGTTGAAGTTTCAAAAGTTGCTTTTGCACTAGAATCTGTTCCCCCAGGCTGCTGCTTATCCTTTTTAGCAAAGTAGTCAGGTGGGAAGGGGACTAAGGGAACATAATTGGTATTGCCAGCTTGCTCTATCGCTGCACGCCTCTTGTAAATAGGAGAAGTCAAAGAACGGTCTTTCTTCCTGCTGACTACAAATTTATTCTCTCCTTTGCGCAAAGGCATGATCTCAGGAAAGTCCTCATCAGGAATTGCATTGGCAATATCTGTAACATTATGGAGCTCTGCAACCTTCTTAAACCATCTGTCAGATTTTTCAGTGTGTTCTAGCTCTTTATCACATATCTCCTTCTCATTCATAGCTTCTCAGAGTGTTGCTGACTTTTTAGAGACTTGTTCAACTCCTCATTCCTTGAAACAGCACTCGTTTGTCCATCTGCATTTGAAACAACAGAGTAGTGGTCATTTGATACAGCCTTCTGACTCTCTTGAATCTTTGGATTTTCAGGTTTCTTGGCAAACATATCAGCTGGTAATGGCACAAATGGAACATAATTGGAATTGGTTCCTCTAGGATGACCATCCTCCATAGAAGTAGAAGTAGACACAGGATTTTCCGCTCCACTATTGATACTATAATCATTAGATCCAGAAGTGGTAGATGAACGACCAAGGACCTCATCCAAACTCTGGCTAATTTTTGCATCTGGTATCTTATTTACTTTCCCAGTCTGAGAATTGTTACACTCAGGAATGCCATCATTATCCATGTTTCTTTGATACTGAGCATTGGCCAACCTCCTCTCCAAAGGTGCTTTTCTTGTACTTAAAACAAATCTTTTAACACCTCTCCTCAAAGGCATGATTTCAGGAAAATCTTCATCTGTTATGGCACTGCTCATATCAGAAGTACTGTCAAGCTGAGAAATCTTACTAAACCATTGTTGTGCCTTCTCTTCATTGGCAGATAACCTCCTATCGAGATCAGCCTTCTTTGAAGAAATCCCATTGCTGTTTGTCAAACCTAGTTTGGAGTAGGTATTACCCAGCAAGATCTCTCCAGGACGCTTGCAATCACACCTTAAGCATACTGTATTCCTCTCATAATTAAAGAAATCACATCGGTAGAAAAGGAGTTAAAAAATCAAAATTCACCAATTTAATTTCCAAAACAAAAAGAAGTAAAAAAAGCAATGCTCACTGGGGACACTCCCACTCTCCACCAGTCAATTGCCTCTTGGCCCATGCTTCCTCACACTCAAGGCATTTCACATTTCTTGCAAAGTTCATAAAATTACACCTGCACATAGAATAAAATGCTATTAATCAGAAATTATGCTGCAGGTTGTAATGATAAAATGGAATGAAATTTCAACATATGCCACCTTATTCAAGTATACCACCAGAAAATATGATGAACTGAGATGAGAAAAGGGGAAATAGCCCAAGGCAAATTATGAAGATGAGAAAAAAATGAATGATTCTACCTAGGGCAAATCCAGTCTCCTTTTTTCATTTCAACATTCTGCCCAAAAGACCTTGGCGTTTGTCCATATCTATCAGGAAGTTGAGTTTGCTCATATCCAGAATAGTTTGGAACCAGAGGACTGTCACTCAGTTTGGCCAACTCGCCCAGCAAATGTCGGACAGATGACTCCACAAGCTCTCTGTTGTAAAGATTGCTTCTCTCTGATGAAGCACTAACATTGCTTGCATAACTCAATAAAAACCTCATCAAATCAACCAGGTCTGCTTGATTAACATCCGCAACCTAAAAACTGAAAAACACTTAGAAACATAGCATATACTAGTTTCACAACTCTAACTTCAACAGACATCAAAGATGTAAAGAACTCTCACTTTGCTTTTTTTTTAATCTCAATATGAACATATACAACCGCGCAGGATTCATACATATGAACATTTCCAGGAGGTCTAGAAAGAATCAGCCTTCAGGAACTCTTTCACTTACAAAATAGAACAAAAGATTAGCTGATTAAAACCATCTTTCTAGCACAAAAATATCTATTCTCTTACTGGTTTTTCCATCCTAAAACAAAAGCATACAATTTAACTTCAGCTACAACATTCATTGAATTTAACAAAAAAAAAAAGAAAAGCAAACTTACAGCATTATTGACAGTTAAATCTTACTCCTAGCAAATCTTGGAACAAATGAAACAGCAAATGATTTCAACACAATTCAATTAAACAAAATGCCCAACACTTACATTGTTTTCACCACTACCTAGAAACACCCTCAACCTCCTCGCTGACTCCTCCCCATCGTCGAACAAAACGGCTTCCCATTTCGCGCCACCACCTCAATCTCCTTCCTCGGAAGCAATCTGACCATAAATAAACCAACATACAAAACTCAAAACATCGAAGAAAACGTTATAATTTAAGCAAAATTTCTTTTTTTTGTTAACTTAAAAGGTCTGTTCTGTCACGTGCGAACATCAAGCACGCATTAAGAAGGCCTGGAAACTCCTCCGGAAACTCCGAAGCAGCCGTCGCGAACTCTTTTGAAGCATGGGGGGAATTGAAGTAGCCGGTTGTTGAGAGGTTATTGAGGACAGCAGAGAATTCCGGCCGGGATGATTGGGTGGGCCCTATAGGTGTAAACACCGGATTTTATCCAAGTCTACATTTTTTATAATAAAAAAAATTAAAAATTTAAATAAAAAAAAATAAAAAGATAAACGAAAAATCTAAATAAAAGAAACAAAATGGAAAGGGTTGGTACCAGTAGGTGCCGTGCACGGTACCGCTGATTACCCACTCCCTGTCAAGCTATCCCAGTCATCATACCACCTCTCGTCCAGTTTTTTCACTCCATCAGCACATGTAACCACCGTTTCTAACCTTATAAAATACTTAATCTCTCTTCTCTAAAATGTTCGAATATCCCCTCAACACCAAAAAACACACTCCTACCAACAACTTCTCAGACAAAAAAAAATTCAAACAACCTCTCAAATACCCAAATAAAAAAACAAACAAAATAAACCAATATACAAAACTCAAAACATCAAAGAAAACGTTATAATTTAAGCAAAATTTCTTTTTTTTGTTAACTTAAAAGGTCTATTCTGTCACGTGCGAACATCAAGCACGCATTAAGAAGGCCTGGAAACTCCTTCGAGAACTCCGAAGCAGCCGTCGCGAACTCTTTTGAAGCATGGGGGGAATTGAAGTAGCCGGTTGTTGAGAGGTTATTGAAGACAGCAGAGAATTCCGGTCGGGGATGATTGGGTGGGCCCTATAGGTGTAAACACCGAATTTTATCCAAGTTATACATTTTTTAAAATCCAAAAAAATTAAAATTTTAAATAAAAAGAATATAAAAAGATAAACGAAAAATCTAAATAGAAGAAACAAAATGGAAAGGGTTGGTACCAGTAGGTGCCGTACATGATATCGCTGGTCACCTACGCCCTGTC